GGCTTTCGTCCGTATGCAGCAATGAATGCATTCGTAAAACGGTGCAAGAGCAATCTCTCCAACTCAGACTAAAGAATGCAAAAAAATCTATTCACGTGTGAACGTTCACGAAACAATCCAGTGAATCCCATCTCGGCTAAAGAATGACAATCAGGTGCATTCATCTGCTTTGATGTCATTCATTTTCTCGACTCGTTCCTTTGAGGGTTCATCTTTATCCATGTTCAGGTTAGTTCATTTGGAGAGATTTCATCAGTATGTGAGCGAACGGAAAGTAGTTGCCAAAACAATGAACTGAGTTACCAAGAGCAATGTGAGTGAATGACCATTTCTATCCTTGGCAGCTGCCGATGTGCGGTATAAGAGGTGAGGAGAAAGGAAACTAGTGGACTCTTTCATTCTGACGGTGTTCTTATGCAACAGCAGACGTGACGTCACGTCTGTTGCTGCGTAAGAAGACGCGAGAACGAAAGAGTCCACTAGTTTCCTTTCTCCTCACCTCTTATACCGCACATCGGGTTGCTGCTGCATTGTTTCCGCCAACTGCTGAGGTGCCAAACCCTTCGGCTAATCCGAGTCGACAATCGTATGCAGCTGCATATTATTCCCTGGGACTATCCTGGCACGCTTACCACTACCGGTGCCGCTAACTTTCAAGGTGATGCCATTGGCAAACTACGCAAAAGGAAAGGAGCCAGTGTCGCTACTTGATAGCAAACTACTCATGATGGGAGGAGTCTTTGTAGCTTTTATGCCACTTGGTTGCACATCATTCTGCTTTAACTGAAAAGATATAAAACAGTGCTGCTGTCTAGCATCAACTCATGAATCATCATTCTCTGCTTGATCGTCAAGCAGTTCAGTTCGGTGTTAGCTCGCTCTCTCGAGTTGTTTGAAAAGTTCGCGCTCTCTCTTTCGCGGTTTGTCGTGCGTGTGTGTGTGCCCCGTAATGGGGAAGCATCGGTCGCGAAGCCCGACGAAGGTCCAGAACCCCGGTGAAGGAAGCTCCGGAGTGCCTACCTCGAACAGGTTTGCTGTTCTCCCCATGGATGGGAATATCCAGCCAGCTGTGTTGGAAAAACGCAGCAAGAAGAGGAAGAAGAATCGAGGCCAGTCCGATGGCACGATTGGTCGAGACGATGCCTCTGCGACGAACGGAGATTTCGGCGACGATAAAGAAAATGCTGCCGACATGAGCGCGGCAAGAGTGAAGCTACCTCCACTGGTAGTGAAAAATGCCCATCTCAACGAGCTCATTGCGGATCTGGCGTCGCTGGGCGTCAAAGCCGAATTCAAATTGGGCAGAGTCGGCACCAAGGTGGTGCTCCGTACCAAAGTGGAGTATGACTAGGTCATCGCCCACCTGAGGACTTCCAAGGTGGAATTCTTCACCCACGATATCCCCGGTGAAAAACCGTTCAAGGTCGTCATCAGGGGCCTACCAAATTTCGACCCGAAGTTTATCGAACATGAAATCAGGGACCGGTACAAGCTGGCCCCAAGTGCCGTGTGTCGAATGACAAGAAGAGACGAGAATGTGAAGGCGTATCCGGATAGCCTTTTCCTGGTACACTTCCAGAAGGGAACGGTGACGCTCAACGCACTGAAAGCCATCCGGTCCATCAATTCCATCATCGTTCGCTGGGAGCCATACCGTGGCGGCCATCGCGATGTGACTCAGTGCCAGCGGTGTCTGAACTTCGGACACGGTACCCGCAACTGCAACTTTAAGCCACGCTGCGGAAATTGCGCTCAAGACCATGCCACCTCCGAATGTGCTGCGGATGAAGCTGTAGCGTCCAAATGCGCCAACTGTGGTGGTGCTCACCAAGGATCCAATAAGCAATGCCCTAAACGCGAGGACTTCAAGCGCATCCGAAATCAAGCGTCCACCAACAATCAACCAGCACGAAGGAAGGATAAGGCCCCGGCTTTCAGGAAGGAGGACTTTCCACCTCTTCATGGACAAGCAAATCCCAGGGTGCGATCCGCGCCCCCTCAAGAAACGTCTGGATCTTCTGCTGGACAAAGCTCTCCATCCCCCCTGGATTCTAGAGGCAACCAACAGCTCAAACAAACAATCCCGATCTGTTCTCAGCAGATGAACTGATGGAGATTTTTATCAACATGACCGGTGCTCTACGTAAGTGCCGCAATAAGCCCGAACAGATCCAAGTGCTCGGTAAGTTCATCATCCAATATGATGTCTAAACCGCTAACCATCGCTACCTGGAACGCTTGCTCTGTAAGAGCTAAGCAGATTGAGCTTGCCGACTTCCTCCGCAAGCATAGCATCGACGTGGGTCTTCTAACCGAAACCCATCTAAAGTCCGGCGACAGCTTCTGGTTGCCTGACCACAACATTATCCGGCTTGATCGCACCAGCTCCAGAGGGGGGGGGGGGTGTTGCGGTCGTCGTCAAGAAAGGAATAAAATACCACACTCTGTCCCATATCCGCACTTCTATCAGAGAGGCCCTTGGTGTGGAGGTGGAGTCGTCGACTGGATACGTCCAGTTCATCGCCGTCTATTGTCCTCGACAGTGTGCCGCCAGCAGTGGACTAGCGGCTAAATTCAAGAAGGACCTGTCCACCATCACCCGTACCGGTTCCCGCTTCGTAGTTAGAGGAGATCTGAATGCTCGCCATGAGGCCTGGCGGAACTACCAGCAGAACCAGAACGGTCGTCTGCTGTTCGACCACTCACAGCATGGGCTGTACTCCGTTTGGTTTTCGGATGAACCAACATTTATCTCACCGGCGGGCAACCCATCGACGCTAGACCTGTTCCTGACAAATATCGGCTTGTCCAAGCCGGTAGCTTTGAACGAACTCAGCTCCGACCACCAACCGGTGGTGGCTGAACTGGGCTGCAACGTGGCTCCTGCTTCAAGCCTGCGCAAGGACTACCATCGCGTAAACTACCAGTTTGGACGCGTGGTAAACAGGCACATCATCGACAACCCGCCGCTTGATACCGTGGAGAACATCGACCGAGCGTTGGAAGGACTCCACCAAGCCATAACCGTGGCTGACGAGGCGTGCGTCCGACGAGTTCCTGTGAGGGGTAAGTTTATTGCCATTGATTCCAACACCCAACTTTTGATTCGTCTGAGAAATGTTCGTAGACGCCAGTTTCAGAGGACTGGAGATCTGGGCAAAAAATGTGAAATGGCCGATCTGAACAGGCAGATTGCTTCCAGAATGGACTCACTCCGAAATGAAAGTTTCGGGTGTGTTGTTCAGAATCTGGACGACCGCTCCAGACCATTCTGGAAGGTAGCCAAGGTCCTGAAAAATCATCCTAAACCCGTTCCACCTCTCAAAGTCGAAAATGATGACGATCGGCTTTTAATCACCCCACAGGAGAAAGGAAATGCGATCGGCAAGCATGTCACTTCATCGCATTTGCTTGGCTCAAATATCCAAAGTCCGCTCGAAGATCAGGTTGCGCAATGCGTACAACACCTTGATGCCTCCCCTTGTGTCGTGCCACCGGCGGATATGATTACAGTACAACAGATTTGCTCAGCGCTGAAATGCTCCAAGAACATGAAGGCTCCCGGGTTTGACGGTATATTCAACTTGATCTTGAAGAGACTCAGCATGAAAGTGCAGTCTCTTCTAACCGCTATTTTCAACAGATGCTTGGAACTGCACTACTTTCCAAGTATCTGAAAATTAGCAAAAATCATACCAATCCGAAAGCCCGGTAAGGATCGAACCTTGCCTTCCAGCTACAGACCAATCAGCCTCCTTTCAGCGCTAAGCAAATTGTTCGAGAAACTCATTCTCAACCGTTTGCTCAAGTTTGTCGAGGAAAACAACATTCTCCTACCGGAACAGTTCGGGTTCAGGAAGGGGCACTCCACCACTCATCAGCTAGTACGGATGATGAATAACATCCGAAGTAACAAGGCTGTATCCAAGTCCACAGCCATGGCCTTGCTAGACGTCGAAAAGGCGTTTGACAATGTTTGGCATGACTGACTTATGTACAAGCTTTGTAACTTCAACTTTCCTTTACATCAGGTTAAAATCACATAGGTATATTAGAGAGTTGTATAGATTTTTCTCCTTTAGCTTACTTAAATCTTTGGTTTTTATTAGTTAGGTAGGTTCCGATTCAACACATTGTAGTTTCATTTTTATACCTATGATCTTGACTTTTTTACCTAGGGGATGAGTACTTAAGGGGGTTAGATTTTGATAAGTTCTTTAGTGGGAATGACACTGATGAAGACTGCACATTGTAGTCGAAATACGTATCTGTCATGGATACCAAAATTAATTAAGTGGAATTAAATGGAAGATAACCTTTTTTGCTGTTTTATTTAGCATTCCGCTAACAACCCAATTTCATTACTTCACAATTGAGCAAAGTTTCATGAAAATCGGAGAAGGTCGCGTCTGATCGATTCGTCATTCAGCGTGTAACTGCCCTTAATCAGAAAGACATCAACGATCACCGATATCAGGGAAGAGAAACTTCCTCTTCGACCATGCGAAATAACCATGCGTCTCCACCATGTTCTCAAGGAATTGAAAATAGCATAGGTGGAACAAATGTGGACGCATGGTACTTTCCACTTACTGCAGAGTGCACAATTTCGAACAAACTATCAGATAAGCGACTCATAAACCTTGAAACAGCTTATCGATCGTGCCGATTCTCACAACAACCGATCGACACGTATTATCTATCATTCCTCTACGACTGGGACCTTGCATTCCAACTGGAAACTGCCCTGAACACGTGCGCTTGAAACAATCTCCAATCACACCGCAATCAAGCATTGTTCTAATTGGAGAAATTCTCACAACCACGAGACGACTTCCACATCCCACCCACTCTCGGTAGAATCTGTGTTGCTCAAACGAGCTCCGAGAGATAGTAGGTACCTGTCCTCTACCAACGTTGTTTCAGTCTAGTCTAGTATAGTTCAGGTTTCGCGCCCATCAACATCGCTTATCGCTGGTGGTTATGTGCTGGGTGTTCTTCTAGCTGTGGAAAATCCCTCATTCGTTCGGAAGCTAACTAGTTGTTCGAAACTCGGTTGTATTGGTGGTGCAAAAGGCAACTCACCAAAGTGCTGTTCTTCAAAGACGATTCGAGCTTCGCCGTCGTCGGGGTGGTGAATTTCGGTTGTGCTATAATCGATAAAATTGCTAGAAAAAGATGTCAGCCTCATGAGTGAAAATTTTTGACAGACCAGTCGCTCGAGACAGTCGGCCAGTTCAGTGCAGTACGTCGTCGTGCGCTACAATCTTCAACTCGTGTGCGAATTGCGAATCTGCTGGTTCTAGCAGATATCTGAATTGTTGGTTGTTGGATTGGTGGTTCAATCTGGAATTAGGTTTACCTTACGGGGAAAATTACCTGGCTCCTCGGAGGTAGCCATTTCCAGTCGTCAGTCGTCTGGTGGTAGAAGAATGCTAGTTCGGTGATTGTAAAGTGATTGGTTGTGGAATTTTTGGTGAAGAGTTGGTGCTTTGTTAAAGCTAGACGAAAAAGTGTGACCAACAACGAGGGGAGAAGAATATCAAGTGCTTTTTTTTCGCATTGGGGAGGTGTGAAAACAACGTGTGGTTTCCTGTGAATTTGTGTCGGTCGACCGAGGCTCTTGACTAATGAGCTGAGGCGGCAAGGATTTGAGTGGGGTAGACACCGACGAGTGCAGCCCGATGTAGTTCCGTAACCAAAAGCGATTTAAAATTTCATACACCAGGGATATCACAAAACCGGCACACTGCATGCCGCTATCCCTTGAGATCATACAAATACCAGGTTTTGCACCAATATGGTTTTTGTGTGATTGACAAGTGTTGATAAAAGTGGCAGTATTATCAATTGAAAAAAAAAAAAGACAGCGATTATCGTGGCGGAGCGTTTGGGCTTTGGGATCATTTTCCGATTTTCGACAGACTGCGAAACGAGGAAAACCAATTGCGTGTCACATTCTGAGCTCGGAAGATAACCTGACTGGAGTGAGGCGGTAGCAGCTAGCGAGGTAGATTGCACAGGCAGTTCCAAAGAATAAATGAAATCGCGTCACGTATTGACGCTTATATAATTGACCCTTCGAAATGAGCTATCGCCAGCTCGGACAACCCACGCGAGCCTTCTCCTAGCTTTCTTTCGACGACAAAACGAACTTCACCGGTCTAATTGCACATTATCTTGTCCTCTCTATCCTCAGGATTCCGCATCGAATCGATGAGCAAATAAATCCCATCCATCCATTCGCACACACTCGCACACCCAGTCTGGCAAATAGCTACAACACCATTTGCCAGCACCGTAGCCATCGTGCCATGCACCAACTTCGTTCCTGTCCTGCTATGTACGTCGTGTGTCACCGGTTCATCAGGAGATAGCATAACCACATTGGTATTCAAATATTTCGCTGATTAACAGCTCCTACAATTACCGCCACCATCATCACGCAGCACCAGCACCAACCACTACTACTGCAGCAGTACTACAGTCACAATTACTTCAGTTTGATTTCCCGTACCAAGATCACGAGAGCAAAACCTCCCTGACGTCCTCGTCATCCGGTGTTACGCGGTAGCGGGGCTCGTGTGGTTGTCCCCCTGAAAACAGAAATGCCCCTCGAAAATAACAAAGATCACCCACCTCCCGGTGAGGCAGCGGCTTCACCGGTTCCATCGCAAAAAGACGTCCCGGATCAAGCCAATGGCTACCAGGAACTGTACAGCTCAATGCGAAGCAACAAATCCGCCAAGTCCAAAGTGTCGGGCAATTCGCTTCGCTACGACCGGGGCCAGGAGAAACACCACCCCGATGGAATGTCCACGCTCGTCGAACTGCTGAACGAAACCTCGCAGGCCTCCATTCATGACATCCTGAACGATGGCGAAGAGGATCAGATGTTCATCACCGGGTACGAAATGTCCCGCTGGCGGACGTTCTTCTGCTACATCGGATATTTTCTAACGCTTGGCATCATGCGGCTGGTGATGCACTGGTGGCAGCACTGGCTGCTGCTGGTGACCCACCGGAAGTGTTCGCTGGAAGTGGCCCAGAAGGTGCTGGTCCACGAACGGTATCAGGGCAAACACGATGCCTTCTACGTAAAGAACGTAATCACCATGAATTCCGAGCTAGTCAAGTGAGTATTGTTAAAGGTTTTAATAATTAACAAAGGGTAGCAGCATGATGGTTGGCATTCGCCATTCGAACGGATGTGCCTTATTGCGGTTGGATGCATGAGGCGCTAAAATTACGGCCTCGTATCGCATAACGAACGGGAAACCTATCTAGTCGCTTTCATCTTAGTTATTACGAACCATCGTGACCGTGAGAGAATCGTCCGGTTGTTCTGAATCTACAAACAATCAATCAATCATCGCAATCAGTATGCACAGATAAGAATCAGAGTGTTTGCCGTCTCAATAGCAATACATACTTTGTTAGGGGTGCTCTCGGTAGGTGGAAGCTGCAGTCGTAGAGGCATTCACTGCGAAAGCATTATTTCTGATGGATCGCAATGTCACTTTTAAACTTCAAGCGCACAAGTAGCAGCTCCGACGAAACATCATAGGGAAAATGGGGTGAGCCCAGCACACTAGGTTAGACGTCTTACGGAAAGGTACAGGGGGTAAATCGAAAATTGCTACCGTCACGAAAAGGTGTTAGGTTTTGAACGCGCCTAACTTTGTCATTTGTAGATGAAATAAAAATCCAAATACACCAATCGATAGGAAATAACTCTACAAACTTGCTGAACTAAATAGGGGAAATGACGGCTTCGGCATGACAGACTATTTTCGGCAACCCAAATTGAAACACTATTTTCACTGGATTTTCTTACGAAAACACTTCGCTGAATGCATGCAAACGATTTTTTGTGCTTTCAGCTTCAATTTGACTATATTTTTACCACTGAGAAAAAGCAATCTAGCAAGGTTTTCTTGAAATGCAACACACGCACTACAAATTGTAGCTGATTTCGAGTTGCCGATAATAGAACAGCAGATTTACATGCAGTTCAAATGAAACGGTTGCCGAAGAAAAACTGGTTGCCGACAATATTCGCTCTCACTAGAGAAGATTGGAGCTTTGTAAAAGCGTTTCAAAACAGTTTTTGACAATTCTTTCGACTGAAATTGTTAGAGCAGCTGGCAGCAAAAGATTGTAAACAAACCAATACTGCATATGTGTGCGTTCCTTATAGAAAAAGGCTATAGAAAGAAAGTCGCTGCTTAGGTTGCCGAAAATACGTAAATTCTCCTACTTAGGCTTGAAAAAACGTCATCCCTAACCCAGTCGTCATAATCGAGTACCACTTGGTTGCGTTTCATTCTGCTTGTATATGTAAAGTTATCGCTCATCGCTCATTTCCGTAATGTCGTGCTTTTCTTTCCTCTCTGCTCTCGCAGAATCGCACTTTACGCAATTAGCAAACCCGAACGGATCTATGGTAAAGCGATTGCCAAATCTGAATAGGTACTCACGTGTTCTTTCTAGCACATGCAAAATCCTTTTTCTTTAACCAAGGGGTGCGTCAATAGGACACCCAACTATTGAACGCTCAATATAATTGATGATATGGTTTACATAATATCGAAGACAACAAATCAAGAAGACTGGCAACTCTTCCTACGAATTTGATAGTAGAGATTACATCCTCAGACGAAGGGTTTGTGTATTTGCTCATTTGACTATGCGTTGCTTCCACCTTCACTCAAGCGTAGCGCTACGGTATCTGTCACTTGGATTCTGGCAAAGTTGCCAGCCTTCTTGACTTGTTGTCTTCGATAATATCTAATCATGTCCACGCGATTTTTTTTTTATTTATTTGTTACTATCAATGCTAAATCCCTGCAGTTTTGTTTCAGCGTCCTGTTGGCAAATTTGCTGGCATGGTACGACGAAAAACCGTCTCGCAAACAGATTTGCTGAACTGTACTATGGGCCGCATGGAACCTTTTCGCCAAATCACGTCCAGAGATCCCAGGATTCTTTTTGACTGCCCTCATGATCTTCGCTCGTAATTTCAGGTCATATGTTACAGTTCTACGTTTGTTTTGTTTTGCGCGATCCAACGTTAGTGTTTCCCAGGAACGTTTAAGCATGGTTTGGGAAAATTGAGAACCTTTGCGATCATTCCTGCTGACCACGTTGGGTTTTCAACGTCTCTAGCGTTCTATATTCGATAACTTTTAAACGTGTTTAACCCTCCGTTACTCGCGCCAACCTTTGTAACACGAGTACTCGCGCGTTGTTCTTTGTACAACAGTGTGAGCTTTCCATTGCCATTTTGCAGCCGAGCTACCAATCGATATGAAACCAACGGGTATTCTTTAACAAACTTGTTTTTAACTAAACAAGCTAAACAGCTAACCCCCAAACAATGCGGATAATAGAGAAAATGTGAATGGAAACCGCGTAAACGGTGTCGGTACTATTTACTAAGGGATTTTACTTAATTGGTTACAACATGGAAAATCTCGAGATCCTGACCAGATAAAAAATTACTGTCTTCGGCAAAGTTGTTGTAGAGATCATAACCTTTTTGCTGGTGGAGAGTAGTTCCGAAAATTCTCACTACGTTTTGCTAGTATATACGTGCAATTTTTGCATATACAATAGCTCGAGTTCCCAACCAGATAGAAAGGTACTGTCTTCGGCATAGTTGTTCAGGATGTCAAGGCCTTTTTGCAGATAGACAGTAGTTCAGAATTTTCTCACTGCGTGGCGCTAGTGTACACGCGAAATTCTCATATTTTATATCTCGAGATCCTGACCAGATAGAAAGTTACTGTCTTCGGCAAAGCTGTTCAGGAGATCATAAATTTTTTGCTGGTGAACAGTAATTCCAAATCTTCTTACTAGGTAGCGCTCGTATACATGTTAAGTTCTCGCATGTGATACATCCTGACCAGATAGAGAGTAAATGTCTTTGGTAAAGTTGTTCAGGAAGACAAGATCTTTTCGTTGGCGGATAGTTGTTCAGAATTTTCTCACTACGCGGTGCTAGTATACACATGCAATTCTCGCATATACAATAGCTCGAGATCCTGGGCAGATACACACTTAAATTTTTTCGCCGAGATTCCAACAGCTGAGTAGTTCTGCAATTTATTTTGCTGAGATTCAGTAAAGCAATTGCCAAGACTCAGCTAACAAATAACTATTTGCTGAAATATCAGCTAACAAACAGATATTTTGCAGAGATATGAGCAGAAGTAAATGCCGAGGTAATCGGCTGTTTGAGATTTTACCGAGCTAGATTAAGTGTGTAGAAAGTTACTGCTTTAGGCAAACTTGTTCAGGAGGTCAAGACTTTTTGAATAGCGGACAGAAGCGCAGAATTCTCTCACCATGTGGCGCTAGTAAACGTGTACAATTCTCGCTTATGCTATAGCTCGAAATCCTGAACAGGTAAAAAAATACTGTCTTCGAAAAAGTTGTTCATGAGGTCAATGCCTATAGCTTGGTGCACAATAGTTCAGAATGTTCACACTACGCGGCGATAGTATACACGCAAAATTCTCGCTTGTAAAATATCTCAAGATTCTGTATACAAGTGCAATTCTCGCATTAGATATATTTCGAGACCTGCTAAACTGTCATCGGCAAAGTTGTCCAGGAGATCAAAACTTTTTCGTTGGTCGACAGTACAGAATTTTCTCACTACGCGGCGCTAGGATATACGTGAAATCTTCGCATATATAATATCTCGAGAGCCTGAACAGCTAGAAATTTACTGTTTTTGGCAAAGCTGTTAAGGAGATTAAGATCTTTTGTCTGATGAAAAGTAGTTCGGAAATTTCTAAAAATTTGGCGAGCAATTCTCGCATATCAAATATCATAAAATAAAAATACAATTTACATCAGCCTAAGTGGGATAAGACAAATATATTCTGGATTTCTTTTACTGGTGAAGATTTTCATGCAGATTTGTTGATACATAAATTGGGGTGAGTCGTTCCACTTGTTTACCTCTGATAAATAAGTGGTAACACGTTAAAAGATCAATATCGCTTAAACATCCACCAAATGAATGTTTAGAGTCTCCCTTTCATTTTAGGCTGTTTTATCGATGGGGTCTAGAGCAAAAAAAAATCCCCGTATTTACGTGTGCACGGACAACGAGACTAACTCAGAGAATGAGGCACTTTTGCTCAGTTGAATGAAGAAATTTACAAAAACGTACACTCCCGATCATAAGTTTGAGGACACATGCAAATGTGTTGTGTTCATATCTTTGTCATTTTACGTCCAATTTTCGTTCTTTTTAGAACATTTGAAAGATTTTGAATGGAAATATGAAGAGGCAAATATAATAATTAAATATAATTTTCAAATTTTGTATACCAAAGGTTCACCCAAAGCTACACTAGTTTTCAAAATTTACTCTGAAGAATCATGATTGATTTTCTTAGAATTGAGTTGAAAAAAAAAAAAATCTTTGAAATTAAAAGTAGTAGTAGAACCCTTATGCTATACCATTCATACCGTTAAAATAACCTAAGAAGATCAAAAATTGGACTTAAACTGAGAGAGCTTTGAACAAAACACATTTGCGTGTATTTTATAAAGGGCGAACACGAAATTATTGCAACACCGAAAATGTCATGCCAATTTTCTTATAATGTTTAGAATCAAACCAAAATTTTAGGGTAGTTTTATACATATATTTACTTCAAAAATCAAAAGAAAAGTTAATCGATGGAGCCTTGAGTGTAAAATTGAACGCATTTTCGCTTGATGCCTTCCATCAAAATCTTTACAGTGTCATCCGGTACCAGTTTCTCAGTTTTTTTTTCATTTTCTTAACATGTCCTTCTCGTCTTTGACTGTCTTCTTGCTCTTCCGAAGTTCCCGCTTCATTATTGCCCAGTACTGTTCCACCGGGCGCAGCTCCGGACAATTTGGCGGATTCATGTCCTTTGGAACAAAATGGACAGAATTGGCCTCATACCACTCCAGGACACTTTTAGAATAGTGGTATGATGCCAAATCTGGCCAAAATAGCGGAGCTTCGTCGTGCTGCTGCAAGAACGGCAAAAGGCGCTTCTCGAGGCACTCAGATTTGTAGATCTCGCCATTTACTGTGCCCTTTGTCACGAAGGCTCACTCCTCAGTCCGCAAGAGCAGATGGCC